TGCATCCTTTCACTGAATCAGAGACTCAATTGAAGCCACTGGATCATGATACCCAGGCATCCAGCAATTTAAGAAGGAAAGATCAGTCACGGAAAAAATCTGTGTTTCTCTTACTACAGGCTTTCTATAACCTCAAGGTCATAATAAATGCTAAATGAAGAGAAAATTGTTAAATACTGCAACCACAAAGGGCTTAACTAAAATAAAAAGCTAAAGGAATTAAGCTAACAGGCCATAAAACTATATATCTAAGTAACTTATTTACACATTACCTAGAAGCTTTCTGGCTGGAAATGTTCATTGCATTCTCCCAACAAGCTACTTATGGCTTAAAATTGGACCACATCCTTTATGGAAAAGATTAGCAGCCGTTACTGTTAATTAGCGGTCATTTAGCTTTCATTTGGGTTAGTGGTTCTGACCCTGGGGAGAGTGATGTATTCTCTGATGTTTCTGTCACTTAATTTGTGCGATGCTGATACAGCAAAATGAAAGAGAGAACTTGCAGTCCTACTTCGTGTGTGACGACATGGTCTGCACTGCGTGTGCAAAGTGTTCAAGAGGGCCCTCGCAGCTAAACTACCATCAATTTTCAATGTGTACAAAGATCCTGAAAGTCAAATAACTTCATGGGAAGGGGGCGCTGCATCATTTCAACTGCATCATATCTACAACATCTTCAGACTGAAAAGGAACTAAAGGGAAACTAATCCAACCATCTGTTTCAGACTAAAACAAAGGAAAATAACTTTGTACACTTTTATTCTAAATCTAAGGTCCAGTTTTAATCTTACAAAGAAAACAAACATGCGCATAGACTATATTGCCAAAAGTATTGGGACACCCCTCCAATTCATTGGATTCAGGTGTTCCATTCACCTCCATGGCCACAGGTGCAGGGGTGTAGAATTCCTATCGCCCGACGCCCAGGGCATGCAGTTTCTTTATACATTTAGCCCTGCTCCAGACAAGCAGAGCTAAATGTATATTGTGGAGCCGCCGCTCGTTTTCATACAAGTGATCTGATCAGATCACTTGTATGAAACGAGAATTGGCGATCCTGTCGGCCCCCCCGCTGTGGTTTTCGGGGGTCCCCCGCTCCTCTGTGTGATCACTGAGACCGCGGCACTGTAATCACAGCGCCACCTGTCTCACATGTCAGGAACTACACAAAACATCTGTTCTGTGTTGGAGGGCAGGTTATATAAAGAGAACAGTAAAAAATAAAAAAAGAGAAATTTTTTTTTTAAGTTATAAAAAAGTCAAAAATAATAAAAAATATATAAAAATTAAATAAAATAAAAGTAACAAAGTAAAAAAAAAATGAAATCAATACGGGAACTTCCGGTCAGAGGAAGATTTCCTCTGACCAGCAGTGCTGTAGGGTGACAGGGAGACAACTTCCTGTGCAATCAGGAAGCGGGGCAGTAACTAATGACCCGCCTCCGAGTTTGTAAATGAGAGATCCGTCTTCTTAGAGACTTTTGCTAGGGAGGCATCTATCTTCGGGCATTTATCCCAAAGACCCGAATCCTCCTCTGCAAATGGAAACCTGCGCTTATGACCCGCCGAAAAAAACATCCGTTTCTCTGGGTGCTTCCACTCCTCTTGGATCAAGTCCGATAGTGATTTGTGTACCGGGAAAGTACGGCCTTTCTTAGATTGAAGTCCTTTGTAAAGTTTATCATGAACTGACAGCTCAGTGGATTCTTCCTTAATCCCCAAAGTATCCCATATGGCTTTCAACAGTTCACCTGTTTCAAGAGAGGGAAAAAGGAATTTCGCAGCTCTGTTACTGCGCAATTCCCCCTCCGACTCATCCTGATCCTCTGACTCTACCTGAGAGCCCGAGGATTCACTGAGCGCTTGCTTGCTCGTACAGCTTTCTGCATAGCCCATCGAGCTACCTTCCCCCGATGTACCGGGCAAACTGGTATCTACCGGTGGTCCCACTGGGTTCTGTAATACAGACCGGAAAGATTGAAAAGTGGTAACCATTTCATCTCTCATGGAATCAGACTTTTGAAACATTCCAGCCGATTCTTTGGCCACCATGTTCTCTAAACAGCCTTTGCACAGGGGTTTGGACCATGAAGGTGACATTTTGGCGTTGCAAGAGGAACACTTCTTCCCTTTTGGGCGAGAGCCACTAGTTCCAGCAAGGGGCTTATCCTCCGAGGCCTTGACCTGCGTAAGACAAGAAGGATGCCATCAACCAGTGCTCTGCCACTATGCAAACAATGCTTGAGAAACAACACAGCCCAGCTTGTCCTGTACCACAGGCCCCCAATACAAGCTGAGTAAGGATAGAGGAGAATCACCAATAAAACTCGCCTACCTTAGCGCCAGTGCCATGCTCTCCCAGGTCTGGTCTCCGTGGGCATATTGCAGCTCACTGCCGACCGCGCTATTGGCCCGCTCCTGACGTCCCCACTGCCCGTACGTGGTCCCGGTCAGTCCGTGAGGTGTGCAGCCTCATTAGTCGTGGCCGAGCGGCGTTCGTTATGGGAGGTGCTCCTGCTGCCTCACATGCCGACTGTCTCCGTCCCCAGCTGCCTTTAAACTGGCCAGCGCGCGCTGCGTTCCGGAACCCGGAAATGGCGCACCGGAAACGCGTCACCACTTCGTACAGACGGTGCCACAGCGCTCCCAGCTGGTGGAAGGAGCACATTGCTATCGGGCTATCTTTTCGGAGCTCTGTCCTGGAAGATGACTGGGGAAATATCGGTACTCGTACTCAATACCCAAAAACTGGTATTGGTGCATCCCTAGTTTAAAGGAAACATTTGTGAAAGAATAGGTCGCTCTCAGGAGTACAGTGAATTTAAGTGAACACAGATTCTTGCTGGCACTGATACTGGATGACACTGGTACTGGTGGAACTGACTTGCAGTGGATGACATCGGAATTGGATGATACTGGTTCTAGATGGGGATCAGGAAGTTCTCCCTTTCCTTTCAGTCTGCTTCTAATCACAACCATTGTTTATATCTGCATTGCTGTGACTGGTCATAGCAATCATGTGGTAGAGAGCTACTTGAACAGAAAAAAAATGGTGTTTACAAGCAGCAACCCGCACTGGGAGGTATGCTGTTCAGTTCCAAGGGCCGGATGCGGGGCGATTAATTTTTTTTCAACAGCTTATGAAACATTAATACATGCAGACAGACTTACATTTACCAAGAGTATATGGCATTCTATAACAGCTCAAGCTAACAAAAATACCTTTATCATCTTTAGTAACTGATACAAGTCCTCAACCTCGTCTCCTTCTTGGGGAGTATATCCTCTTCCTGTGTTGAGGCTGGCACCAGACAGTGTAGCACGATACAGCGGTAACCCCATGGCTTCTGCATAAACATCCAATGCCTGGTTGCCGACTGTTTGGTACATGTAGCTGTCCAATTCATCCACTGCAGAGAGAGAGATCCCATATTTAGAATAGGTCACCAAAAGCAGAAAAATCAAGACAAAACTGAGTTAGCTCACTTCCTTAATAAAATAGTTGTCTATGGTTTAGATTAAGTGATATCCGTGCCACAAAAAATGTACTGCATAATGATTAGACCTTAACACTACCTGGTCTACTTACTTTATTGGGAAACTCCAATTTAAAAAAAAAAAAAAGGAAGAATGTAGCATATATAATTGCTACACAAGCCATTTTGTAACTTTGTTATTAAAAATTACCTCCCCAGTTAAAACGGGCTTACATTTCTTTACAGCGGCTGCTGTAAATTTCTAAAACATTCAATGCAATATGGTGACTTGGAGGCATTCTCTGCATAGCTGGTATACAGAACAGCCCCAGAAACGTAATTTCCTGCTTCTGTGATTGGCTGACTGTATACGACAGAAGTCTGCACTAAGATACAAGTACAATTATAGGCACCCCTTACAATAGGAATTTCATTTTTGGTGAGATACTCCCTAAGGGTTAATTACTTCTAAAGGGATGCAAACACTGCAGCTTTGCTCATTAAAGCACAGAACATCCAACAGCAGATTATAATAAACTCAGACCCCACTATTCTGGAATCAGTTTGCAAAGGACATGCTGCAACAAACAGCTACTTCTTCAGAACACAAACAGGTAGGAATCTGCAAGTTTGTTAAAATCCTTGCGATGAAAGTTGATCATCCAGGGACGATTGCTTTTTTCGTAGCAAAAAACATTTATTCTTTAATGTTCAATCTGGCAGTGAAGTGGTTAATTGTCAGGTCCTGTCTGATATTTAAATGATCATTAAAGTACAACTAAAGGCTCCTGCTTGACAATCTAAACAACTACCAAATCCAGCTACTATGCAAGTTAATTGATTTGTGTCTCACATGCCCCCCTCCCAGACACTGCAGCTCAGAGTGGGAGGGCTTAAGCAACAGCGAAAGAGCCGTCAATGCAGAAACTAGTGGGCAGCACTAGGTGTGGACAGGTGATGAATGAACAGCTACAGGCTTGTGAAACAGCTCATAGCCACACTACCTGCAATATTTTTTATTATATTTATTCTACTATAGCAGATATGAAGTCAGGGACCAACAGCTCTAAACTGTACTGGGGCCTGTGTTAGTTGGCTAAGCTGTGGTATATTATAGTAGTCCCACATGCGCTGTAGAAGGTGGGCCTCTATCTCTTCATATGATATTGTACCATTTTGTAGAGGTGGTAAGGATCTTCATTTTATGACTTAGAAGAAGGTATTCTATTAAAACCACTCTATCAGCATGAATTTAAGGTAACCCAATTCTTTCTTTCTGTTTTTCTCTGTATTAAACCATTTAATAAAATGCTTACCTGCGCTGTCAGGAGGCTTCAAGTTTGCAAGGGCAACAATTTGGTGACCAGCCATGACACACTGCATCATATTGTAGCAACTGTCCTTTCCACCACTAAAATACACATATACACAATGTATGGATCAGACAGGTGGGCACGTCATGTAGAATCATACAGGTGGTGATGTGTCATATTTTGCAAAAACATTATCCAAGACATATTGCCAAGCAGTAACTTCAGCTATTTAACCAGGTCAATACAAATAAATCAATTAAAATGTAGATGTGTACAAAGATGTTAGCTGTTTTGGGTTATTCACAATATATTTTTAAAGAAAAGTATAGAGGAACAGCAGAGATTTTTTTACTGGAAGAAAAAGTTTCTCAAAAGGTTTACTTTCTTGGCTATCCAATAATGCAGGTGACATAGTTTGCGGTCTACTAACTTAAAACATATTGCATTCCGATATCTGTATGCTGCTAATTCATGTACTTTTTTGTTATTTTTGCATACCAATCAAGCTGTCCTGTGAAATAACAGGGTGTGGGACAATGTATACCACTGCCAGGGTTGCTTGCAACCTTGTTTCCCTAAAGTTTAAATCATTCTTTTAAAAAAAACCCCCCAAAAAACACATGTTTAAAGGAGAACTATGGGGTAAGGGCTTTTCCCCATAGTTCTAAGGGTCACGGGAGAACACAAACTAGCGCTCTCCCGTGACCCAAAGCTCAGTATACCACGAACTACAGCTTGCAGTATACTGAGACGCCGCAGCCTGAACGGATCCCGATAATACTGTCTGGATCCACCCAGCTGCATGAGTGACAGCTGGCTCTGCCTATCTAGAGGCAGAGCCAGCTGTGCCAGCCCCGTCCTTTCCGCCAGTCAGCGCTGGAGGATCGGACAGGGGAGGGGGGGAATCCCTGCAGGGAGCCGTGAGTGACAGTCACGGCTCTCTGCAGGGATAGATCGAGAAGTGAGCGAGCGGCGGTATGTGTTCACTCACTTCCCGATCTACTGAGCCGACCTGTGACAGTCTCATTGTCACAGGTCGGCTCAGATTATGAAGCTGAGTGAAAATCACTCACCTCATAATTCTCCTTTAAACTGTGTAAGCACCCTGGCAGCATAATCATTTCTCTAAACACTCATTATTGGCAGGGCTTGTTCAGTTGTTTTGTTCGTACCACAATGTGTCGCACGGAAGGTCACCGCAGTGCACCACGCTGCAGTGCTGAGACCAGAATGGAGTGTACACTTTGTACACTCCAAATAAAATTTAACCCCGATAATATATAATGTTGGGGGGTTTTACGTCATTTTCAGGCCTAAAATGTGGAATATAACATGGGTGCAAAAATTGAAAAAAGGGCCTCAGTCATGAAGGGGTTAAGAAAAGGAAAAGGTGATAACTTGGATGTGCTAAACTGCATACATTATTTTGACTTATTTCATATCTTTTGTTTTTGAATTAAACTCTTTTGCTTACATGCTTCTATGTGACTGTACTTTAGGCTGCCAAAATCACAACAAAGTGAAAAGTGGACACGCAGTATTTTTCCCTATGTAGCACAAACACTGTATACATACACAGGCCTTAAACTGGCCATAAACCTTGCAATCAGATTGTACAATCTCCTTTAGGTCTACCAACAACTATGTATTACGGTAGCCTACACAAATGGAATGGAACATTTTGGTAGCAATTCTGTTACATACTTTTGGTAAATCTGAAAGAGACTGTAGGGAGTGTGTACAATCAGACTGCCAGCTTTAGACAAATAGCAAATACATTTTTATGTGGCAGTAAAGAGACTTATACCTGGCATCTTTTCTAAAAGATAAAACCGTAAGAGCACACATGTAATAATACTGCATTAAGACAATGATGGCAGTATTAATAATAAACTCCCTCCTTGTATGTCCCTCCAACTAATGAAGAGTTCTTAAACAGAGACACTTTTTATATATTAAAGTGAATCTGTCACTTAAAAGAAAGTTGTAAGATGTAAAGTACAGGCACCTCTATCTGCCAGAACATAATCAATGGGAGAAGCCCAGTAGCTTACAACTAGTGTTGGAGCTTGCCCATCCCATCCAGCCTCACAAACATTCCTATTGACCAAGCAGGTAGCCCATGATAGTGATGGGCCAAGAAGAATGTGTAAATTGTATCACACTGCACTGCTGATGACCTGCTTTTTGCTTCCTCATATACAGCTTCACGTCTTGGGGGAATGCTCCTTGGAAACTTTCAGTACTCTGTAGGGCTGCAATCAACTAATCGACATAATCGATTATTGAAAAAGTTGTCAACTTTTTCAATCATTGATTAATCGGCTTCTGATTGGTTGGCCCTGTTCACGGCTCCACACACGCTGCGCGCCACACCTCCTCCCCACCTCACGCTCGCCGCTGCCAGATCTGCCCGCATCCATGCTCCGTGCCTCACGTTCACCGCCCGCCCAAATCCACGATCGGCACAGGGACGCGGGGAGAAGAAGTAGGGAGCAGCAGGTGTGGGTGGATGACAGCCGCCGATAGACAGGCCCTATCTCAGAAACAAGTTGCTGGAAGACTGCTCAGGTAAGCCTGCACTCCCACCCACACATGGTGCTCTATAATGTATTGCTGGGATTTGTATTTCTCTATAGCTGATGGTACATTGTGCTGTATATTATACATAGGAATACAAATCCCAGCAATACATTATACACTGTATGTATAATGTATTGCTGGGATTTGTTGTACTCCTATATAGCTGGTGATATTCTGCACTGCGCTGTATAGAGGACTACAAATCCCAGCAATAATACATTATACAGTGGTGCAATGCCGAATACCACTAGCTATAGAGGACTACAAAACCCAGCAATAGTACATTATACAGCGCAATGCAAAATACCACCAGCTATAGAGGACTCCAAAACCCAGCAATAGTACATTATACAGCGCAATGCAGAATACCGCCAGCTATAATGTACTATTGCTGGGATTTGTTGTGTTCCTATATAGCTGGTGGTATTCTGCGTTGTGCTGTATAATGTACTATTGCTAGGTTTTGGAGTTCTCTATAGCCGGTGTCATTCTGCATTCATTGCTGTATAATTTTACACTTTTAATTTCACTATATTGTACACCACACTTTTTTTTTTTCTTTGTTACTTCCACCGCTCCAAGCTTGCTCCTGTGATGGAGTGCAATCTCAATACAAACTAGAAGTCCCATCACTGGAGCCATTTTTTAAAATGTATTTTATTTTTTTTCCGATTAACCGATGAATCGGACTTAATAATCGGCTAACTAATCGATTTTGAAAATAATCGTTAGCTGCAGCTCTAGTACTCTGTATGTACCCCTCTGTGTATTTCCATAACAGGTACTTGTTAGCATTTCAAGGAGGAACCCCATCACAGTAATGGGCCAACAGGAAAACTTTCCACCTCTCTCTCTGTCCCATCCCCTAACCAGTCCTACTGGTCCATCACTGTGATGGGCTGCCTCCTTTCACAAAAGAAACCTATGTGACAGGCCTTTGCAATTTCAGAACAGCCAGAATTCAGTTATACTTGCAGCAGCTTTCATTTATACATTTTATATACATTTCTACTGACCCATTTCTAAGATGGGCTACCTGCTTGGCCAGTAGGAATGTGTGTAGGGCTGAAGTGGAAGGTCAGGCTCTGACATGACCCAGACGTGTTCATGATTTTTCCAGTCAGAGATACCAACATTCAGCAATAGCAGATGAGAATAAGGGCTGCGGCAACTACAGTGGTACCTCGGTTCATAAGCGAGTCTGTTCGCGAACAGGAAGTACCGCAAAACTCCGCATCGGGTGACGAACATAACCACAGCTATCTTCCCTGCTCTGACACATGGTTGTGGCATTCTCTAGTCGAGATCACGGTCTGATCAGTTTGATTTGGTTCGCGACCATAATTGTGGAACGAATTAAGTTCGTGAACCGAGGTACCACTGTATGTGCAGTCACCTCTAAGAGCTTGCATTGTATTCATGCCTGCACTTCCTCCTTTTAAAGTAGCACATCAGCTTGCCCCCACTCCCTTCAGACCCATCAATCTTACTTATTTTTTTTTAAATACCTTATACATACCTTTATTTCCTGTAGACTTCACACCTGTTCATTGCGGTTAAGAGTCCTTCCTTTTTTTTTCTCGGCGGCAACAGTAGGCAGTCCTTTCCCCTCGACAGAGCGGCATTTGCATGACAGTCTGGGCTCACAGTAAGTGATTTCAATAAAGCGGACTATTATTGAACCCAGAAGACAGCGGAACTGTACATTGGGATAGTAAGTGTGCAAGGGACTACACCAGGGATAAGCAAAGTACTGCCTAGAAATCTGCTTTTTCATTTTTAAAGATGCAATATGGCATTTAAAAAAAGATGTGCCGTTTCAAACTGGTCTACAACCTTTCCCATTTAACAGAGAAAGAATGTGGATGTGTACAGTGTTTGCTATTTTTGAGATATCATTGAGAAATCATTTGAATTCTCTAATTGCCTGCAGAGTCATTACTAAATGTAAAACAAATATTACTGTCAGAACGAACGCACTAAGCGGGAGCTGACAAATTCTCCAGACAAAAACATTCTAAAAGCTTTTCTGTTAGCCACAACATTTTGCATATTTTGCTCCGTATTAGCGAAATCCTCTAATAGCACAGATGGGAACACTTGTTCATATTAGATAGTTAAAGACTTAGCTCACCTTTGGGACTATTTTTCATATTACTGTACAACCATATTTGAGGGTGTA